TCCAAAGCAAGCACAAGGAAGGAAATAATAAAGTTTAAAGTGGAAATCCAGGAAATTGAGAACAGAAGAAAGTAAAGAAAACCAATGAAACAAAGAGACAGTTCTTTGAAAAGGTCAATAAAACTGACAAACCTCTAACAAGACTGACAAAGATAAAAAGCGTGAAGACACAAGTTACCAATATGAGGAATGAAACAGGGAAATATCACTACAGACCCTGCAGACATCAAAAAGATAAAAAAAGGGACACTATGAATAACTCTACACATATAAATTTGACAACTTTAGATGAAAAGGACCAATTATTTGAAAAACAAAAATGCATCTCACCAATTATGAAATAGATAATCTAATATCCTTATAACTATTAAGAAAGTAGAATTCAAAATTTTAAAACTTCTAGGAAATAAATTTCCAGACCCAGATCATTTCACTGAAAAATGCTATAAAACATTAACACCAATTCTATGCAATCTCATCCAAAAAAACAGAAGAGAGAACACTTGTCAATTCATTTTCTTAAGCTATTATTACCTTGACACCAAAACCAGATAAAGATAATTAAAATAAAAAGAGAACACTACAGACCAATATCTCTCATGAATATAGACACAGAAAATCTTAATAAAATATTAGGACATAGAATTCAGCAACATATAAAAGGAATATACACATGACCAAGTAGGGTTTATTTCAGGGAGGAAAGATTGGCTCAATCTTCAAAAATCAATCAATGTAGCACTGCATTAATAGGCCAAAGTAGAAAAATCACATGATCATATCAACTAATGCAAAAAGAGTATTTGATAAAATTCCATACTCATTCATAATAAAAAAACTCTCAGAAAAATAGGAAGAGAGGTGAACTTCCTCCACTGGATAAAAAATATGTACCAACAACTACAGTTAACATCATACTTAGTGGTAAAAGACTGAATGCTTTCCTTCTAAGATCTGGAACAAGGCAAGGCTGTCTGTTCTGACAACTCTTATTTAACATAGTGCTGGCAGTTCTACTCAGTACAATAAGGAGAGATAAGGAAATAAAAGACATACAGATGAAAGAGGGAGAAAGAAGCTGTCCCTACTTGTCGATGGCATAATTGTTTGCATAGAAAATTCCAAGGATTCTACAAAAGAACTAGAGTAACTAAGAGAGTTCAGCAATGTCACAGGTTACAAGAGAAAGATGAAATATCATTGTCATATCTATATACTAGCAACCAACATGGGAACACTAAAATCAAAACTACAATGCCATTTATAACTCTTAAAATATTGGATACTTAGGTCTAAATCTATCAAAACATGTACTGTACTCGTATGCCAAAAACTGCATAACACTGATGAAAAAAATCAAAGATAATCTAAATAAATGGAGAAACATACTATGTTCATGGATTTCAGGACTTACTATAGTAAAGACGTCAATTATCCTCAAAATGATATGCAGGTTTAATGCAATTCCTTTCAAAACTCTAGAAAGATTTTTTATAGCTATAGACAAAATTATTGCAAAAGTTACATAGAAAGTCAAGGAATTTAAATAACTATTTTTTTTTTTTAAAAAAAGAAGAAGTATGAAGAATTACCCTACCTGATTTCAAAACTTATTTTACAACTATGGTAAAATGGTGTGATACTGATGGAAGGATAAACACAGAGGTTGAAGGTACAGAATAAAGAACTCAGAAACAGACCCCCCAAAAATATGCTAAACTGATTTTTGAGAAAGTTGCAAAAGCAATTCAACTGAGGAAAGACAGCCTTTTCAACAAATGGTGCTGGAGCAATTGGCCATCCATAGGCAAAAAAAAAAAGAGAGGTTTTTTTTGGTTCAAAATGGATCACAGTCTTTAATGTAAAATATAAAAGTACAAACAGTTTTAGAAAAAAAAATAGGAGATAATCTTTGGGATCTCTGAAGAATTCTTAGATTTGACACCAAAACCACAATCCCTAAAATGGAAAATGGATGAACTGGACTTCATCAAAATTAAAAATGTTTGCTCTACATAAGACTCTGTTAAGAGGATTAAAAAAAAACACAGCTTACAGAGTGTATAAGATATTTGCAAGCCACGTATCTGATAAATGACTAGTGCCTGAATACAGTTATGCATCACTTAATGATGGGGATGTGTTGTTGGCTGATTTCGTCATTGTATGACCATCACAGAGTGCACTCACACAAACCTAGATGGTATAGCCTACTACACACCTAGGCAATACAATATAACCTATTGCTCCTAGGCTACAAATCTGTTCAGTATGTTATTGTACTGAATACTGTAGGCAATTGTAACACAATTGTAAATACTTGTGTATCTAAACATATCTAAACATAGAAGAAGCACTGTAAAAATATTGAATAAAAGATAAAAAATGGAACACTTGTATAGGACACTTACCATGAATGGAGCTTGCTGGACTGGAAGTTGCTCTGGGTGAGTCAGCGAGTGAGTGGTGAGTGAATGTGAAGGCCGAGGACATTACTGCACATACTGTAGAGTTTATAAACACTGCACACTTAGGCTGCACTAAATTTATAAACAGTGTTAAAACTTAACAATAAGAGAATGAACAACCTGATTAAAAAAGAGGTCAAAAGACCTGAACAGATGCCTCACCAAAGAAGATATACAGATGGCACATAAGCATATGAAAAGATCATCAACATCATACCTCATTAGGGAATTTCAAATTAAAATAACAATGAGCTACAACTATATACCTGTTAGAACAGCTAAAATCCAGAACACTGGTACCACCAAATGCTGACAAGGGTGTGGAGCAACAAGAATGCTCATTCACTGCTGGTGGAAATGCAAAATGGCATAGCCACTTTGGAAGACAGTTTGGCAGTTTCTTACAAAACTAAACCAACTCTTACAATGTAATTCAGCAATCCTATGCCTTGGTATTTACCCAAAAGATGTGAAAACTTATGTTCACACAAAAACCTGCACACAGATATTTGTAGCAGTTTTATTCATAATTGCCTAAACTTGGAAGCAACCAAGATGTCCTCCAGTAGGTGAGTGGATAAAAAAACTGTGGTACATCCAGACTATGGAATATTACTCAGTGCTGAAAAGAAATAAGCTATCAAGCCATGAAAAGACATGGAGGAAACTTGAAAGCATATTACTAAGTGAAAGAAGCAAATCTGAAAAGGTTACATATTGTATGATCCCAGCTATACAACATCTGGGAAGGTTAAAAGGATGGAGTCAGTAAAAAGATCCATGGGTAGCAAGGAGGGAGGGTTGGATAGGCAGAGCACAGAAGACTCTTAGGGCAGTGAAACTACTCTGTATATTTTACCGTAATGATAGATGCCATACATGTCATTATATATTCTTTTGTCCAAAGCTATAGAATGTACACCACCAAGAGTGAATCCTAGTGTAAACTATGGATTTTGGGTTGTTGTGATGTGTCTATGTAGGTTCACTGATTGTAACAAATATACCACTCTTTTGGAAGATGCTGATAGTGGGAGAGGCTGTGCATGCACGGGGCAGGGGCTATATGGGAACTCTCTGTAGTTTCTGCTTCATTTTCCTTTGAACCTAAAACTCCTCTAAAAAATAGTCTACTAAAATTGAAATTAAAATTAAAAAATTAAATGGGCAGCTGATATGAAGTGATATTTCACCAAAGAGGATATACAGAGGATAAATAGGCAAATGAAAAGGCGTTCTACACCATTAGCCATCACAGAAATGCAAATGAAAACCACAATGAGGTATCGCTACTCACCTATGAGAATGATTAAAATAAAAAATAGTGACCATACCAACCACTGCTGAGGATACAGAGAAAATGTATTACCCATCTATTGCTGATGGCAATGTGAAATGGTACAACCACTCTGGAAAACAGCTTGGCAGTTTACAAAGTAAACACACAAGTAGCAGCCAACCAAGCAACTGCACTTCTGGCCGTTTCCTCAGAGAAATGAAGACTTACATTCACACAGAAATCTACATGTGACTGTTTATAGTAGTTTTATGTGTAATAGCCAAAAACTGGAAACAACACAGTTGAGTAAATGGTTAAACTGTGGTATATCCATACCACAGAATACTACTCAGCAATGAAAAGGAATAAACTATCAAAACACGCAACAACCTGAATGAATCGCCAGATAATCCTGCTGAGTGAAACAAGACAATCCAAAATAGTCACCTAACATAAAATTCTACTTATATAAAATTCTTGAAATGACAAAATTATATAAGTGGAGAGCAAATTAGTGGTTCCTAGTACTTAAGGAGGGATGAAGGTCAGAGGGACGTAGAAGTGGCTAGAAGAGGGAAGGCAACTCAGAGTCCTTGCAGTGATGGAAGAGCTCTCGACTGCATCAAGGTCAATATCCTGACGCAATGTTGGACTACAGTTTTAAAGTTGGTATCACTGGGGAAAACTGTGTAAAGGGTACCTGGGATCTCTCTGTATTATTTCTTACAACTGCATGTGAATCTACAATTATCTCAAAATTTAAAAAGAAAAAAACTGGGTAAAGCAATAATAAAACTGTGTTAATAGGCTTGTAACATATAGAAATGTAATTGGGGGGCTAGCCCGGTGGCTTAGTTGTTAAGTTCACGTGCTCTGCTTTGGTGCCCCGGGGTTCACAGGTTTGGACCCCGGGCATGGACCTACACACCGTTTATCAAGCCATGCTGTAGTGGCATCCGACATACAAAATAGAGGAAGATTGCCACAGATGCTACTCAGGGACAATATTCCTCAAGCAAAAAGAGGAAGATTGGACACAGATGTTAGCTCAGGGTCAATCTTCCTCACCAAAAACAAAACAAAACAAAACAAAACTAATTGGTATGACAACAATGGCATGAAGGGGAGGGAGGAGAACAGAAGTATATTAGTTGGTATTAATCTGAGCTAGATTATTTTAAACTAAGAAGTTAATTGTAATCCTTAGGAAAAACAAGAAAAAAAAAGAAACAAGGAAATTAAAATGACGTACTAGAAAATATTTATTTAAAACAAAAGAAGGCAGTACTGGAGACATAGAGAAACAAAAAAAGACATAGATATATGAAAGAAAACAAATAGCAGAATGGCAGATCTAAATCCTGCCTTAGCCAAGCGGTCCATCTCAGTCTCCCTGCCGCAGTGATTTGTTTAGTGATGGATACACGGTCCAGGCTGATCCAGTGTGAGGTTAGCCTATTCAGTTACTGGGGAGTTCACTCTCGCGCTGGAAAAGAAAAAGGAAGACGGTTGATGCTGGCCTCCATCTGGTGAGCATGAGTAGGGCCGACCTATGGATATTGCTTACATCAGGACATGCAGAACAGAGAGGGAAAAATAAACTGCTAAGAACCAGCTATCAGGGCTCCCACCGTTAGCACATACGGCACTTCTGGGTGGATAAACTTGGCAAACCCAGCCTGCAGGAGCACGGCTCTGCTATTGAGGCTCCTTTCTGCAAATAAAATGGCCTTCCTTCCTCCAGGTAGGTCCAGCTCCACACCAGGGCATATGGAAGGGTGAGCTGGATAGAGCTCCCACTCGCCCCCTTGCCCAGGCACCTTTGAGCAGTCCACAATTTGCACAACTATACACTGGGTCTCCGAGCCTTGCCTGAAACCTGCCCAACCTCTGGAGTTTTCATATGAGCCAACATTTTTTCTTTATGAAGTCACTTTGAGAAAGTCTTTTCTACTACTTGTAACCAAAAGTAGCACAACTCATACAGAATTTCTTACCAGAAAATGGGGTGTTAGAAAGACTAGATTCTAAAATGTGAAATTGCCCGAGCTGAGAAGGTAGGCTGGAGGGCAAGGAGAATGATTCTACCAATCCAAATTTTGTATGTTGCAGCACAGAGCTGCTTAAAGTATGGTGCTTTGGGACTTTGACCACATTTTTACCAAGGCTATAGCACTAAGACATCTGCTAGAAAAAAAATCAGGATTTGGAGATTTTGAATATCCAGACAGCCCCAACTTAACAATGGCTCCACTTAACAATTCTTTGACCTTACGATGGGGCAAAAGCAATATGCATTTGGTAGAAACCATACCTCGAATTCTGAACTATGGTCTACTCCCAGGCTGGTGATCTGTGGTACGATCCTCCTTCGTGACGCTGGGCAGCGGGAGCGAGCACAGCTCCCAGTGAACAACTGATACACTGACAACCATTCTGTACCCAGACAACCATCCTGTTTTCACTTTCAGTACAGTATTCAATTACAGGAGATATTCAATTCTAGTATTAAATAGGCTTTCTACTAGACGATTTTGCCCAACTGTAGGCTTATGTAAGTGTTCTGAGCACCTTTAAGATAGGCTAGGCTAAGCTATGATGTTCAGTAGGTTAAGTGTATTAAAATGCATTTTTGACTTAAAATATTTTTGACTGACAACGGGTTTATCAGGACATAACTCCATTGTAAGTCAAGGAAGATTGGTGTTGTGGCCTTGAGTTAGGTCTTATGTGAGCTTAGGCTGCAGGTGGCTCTTCTGAAAGCAGAAAGGGAACATGATGCACTAGTTGCTGTCTTAACCAGCTTCTGCTGAACTGACTGCTTGGCCACTTAATATGCGCCATTCTTCTGTAAAACATCCTGACTGAAGACCATGGTCTTCAGAATGTTCTTGGCTATAGGTGTGGCCTTAATCCACTGACTACATTTGTTCCCACTGAGTTTTAAGGCCACCCAATTTATTCATCTCTCTTCCTAAGCTTATTTATGCCAGTTATGCTTATTGTAATTATGTATTTGTTTTTTTTATTTTAGATTTTATTTTTTCCTTTTTCACCCCAAAGCCCCCCTGGTACATAGTTGTATATTCTTCGTTGTGGGTCCTTCTAGTTGTGGCATGTGGGACGCTGCCTCAGAGTGGTCTGATGAGCAGTGCCATGTCCGCGCCCAGGATTCGAACCAACGAAACACTGGGCCGCCTGCAGTGGAGCGCGCGAACCCAACCACTCGGCCACTGGGCCAGCCCCTGTAATTTTAATTAAATATTACAGAATTACAGAAAGCAATGAACTATGAGTATGAAACTAAAGGGATTTTTCTTTTTTTCCTGTGAAAGCTAAATTAAATGCTTTGGAAAGACTTGATAAAGGTCAATTGCTCAAAAAATTGCTCTTAAACTATAAAAATTGTGGGAAATTATAAATATTTAAAAGGATTTTTCAGTCATGTACTTCACAAAGGTCTTTAAATTCTCACTCCATACTAAGAAAAATAAAAGAAACCGTAAATCTTAGATGCTTCAGTGCACTACGACTATGAGAAAGACCCATGCTTGAAGCAAAAGCCTTGGCCTCACACCAAAATATTGTGGATAGATGTGTTAAAATAAAACGTTTACACTATATATATGTATCTTTTTATATTTTCTTTTGAATTTAAATTGACCAACAAGCCATCTACATCTATATTGGTTAAGAAGTTTCTACTGTCTGGCTTTGCTATGAGAGTCCGCTATGGAACCGGCTGTCCACGGTATCTGGGGGTGCAATAATCCAAAGCCTTTCAAGGTTAGAAAAGGCTAATTCTCCTTCACAACCCGAAAGCAGGAAGGTGGGAAGTTCCCATAATAGCAAATAAGCTTAGGCCTGAACCCTCCCACTCCCTACAACCGTTTCAAACACCTTAGCTTATACATTAGCAACCAGGTGATGGAGGGAAAATCACAAAATTTTTAAGGAAACTGTACTTCCAAAGATTCCCAAGCCTGGCCAATGGCTGCTGGTGATCCTTAAGGTTGAGTGTTGAGGGAAGAAACCTTCTCTCTCTCCTCGTGGGTGAGCTGCTGATACTCATCCTGCAACCAGGAGGTGAACGATGAGGACCGCGGGGGCTCAGGGGCCATCTCTGGGCTGTAGATCAAGACCTGCCTGACATTCACCTGGAACCTCCTTTTTTAATTATGTGAGCCAACAGATTTCCTTCACCATTTGGACTTGGTTTTCTGTGTTTTTCCAAACAGATACAAAGAACAGCCTTTTGGCTTGGGGCATGGAGAGAGGTAGTGTCTAGAAGTGGATTAAAAAGTTCAAGCCGTTAAAGTATATGTCTTGTTTTAGAGGAATTTTGAGAAATACAGGGGTGTTTTGTTTGTTTTGTTTTTCCAGCTAGTGACATTTCCAGAGATGTTTTAAGGCCCCACTGATAGCTTAGTGCCCCTCATAGGTTGGTGCCATGGACTACTGCCTGGCTGGACTTCCACTTAACCTGCCTCTGATATTGTTACAAAGTGTGCTCTGTCCAAAGGCCAGCAGATGAATTACAGCAGGACACCCAGACTACAAGCCAAACGGGCCCTTTAAAAATGTGTATGGCCAAACTAAAATATTACTTTAAGTAATGCAGCAGAGCAACATTGTCAAGACACAAGGAGCAGTCAGGGGTAAATCTACTTGCTTTGAGCACAGGCATTGCACAGCAGGAGAGAGTCCTGTGGTGATCCTGGTGCAATGCAATCTCTCCCAGTAGGGAGTTCTTACCTGAACATAAGGTGGGAAGGGTGTGCATCTGCTAATGCAGACCACATTTGTGCTCATCCTGGGTCCATTCAGCCTAGGATCCATTCCCACCCTTCTGTTCTGTCTGCATTGCAGGATGCATGAACCCTGCAGGCTGGTTCCCAAGCTGGGAATGGCCAGGGCAGACACTGGTGGGAGATGTGGGGAGGAAGGAGGGAGAAGCCAGGGCATTGCTCCTGCTTCCTTTCTGTCCCAGGCAACATCTGATGCAACAGTTGAGTCTCTTCCAGCTCCCCTCCAATGACCTTCACCCTTTGCCTCTTCACTCTGGCCCAGGGGTGGCGGTGGCTTCTGGCTAGTGTTAATCTCTGGGTTGTCTCCCTGTCTGATGCTGGCATTTCAGCTCTTCTTTCCCAGTTTCCTGCATCAGGCTCTCTGTTTTAAATACTCAAGTGATCTGTCTTCCCTGAGAAGACCCTAACCGATACAGTAGATCACTCAAAGCCTTAGACTAGAACTTCAGAAGGATGGGTCCCAAATATACTGCCATATTGCTCTTCTATCTCTGAAGGTTTTTAGTCTATTTGTTTCACATTTAATAAATGTTAATGTTATTTTTTTCCTCTTGCATTCTCCACATTTCTTCTATTTATGACTTAAAGTTACACTTGAGCTTATAAATGGACTTTCTTGTTTTCTAGTTATTACATCTTGGCATAATACTTTCCGAACACCGTTTTATTATGTTCCACACTTAAAAAGCCACCTGGATATTCTCCCTTTCTAGTCTTTTTGTTAAACTGTCTTTAAGCCCCCTTGCGTGTTTTTGTAATGTGTAACGCAGACTCTGTTACGACAGAAAGGTTTCAAAAGACTTGTGCAGCTGGGAATTTTTTGATGATTTCATTTTATAAGTCCTTTGGAATGAACGTGGGCATTAAGAGGCACAATGAATACAATATCAGTTTAACAAGATTTGAGTGGCCTTATTTTTACGGAGAAGTTAACGTTTCTAGACATTGTGATTCCACCAGTGGCTTTCTCTATAATGTTTAAAAAAATGGAATTTAGCAGACATATAAAATGGAAAAAAATAGAAAAGTTGTCATAAATCTTTTTTACTAAAGTGTTTTGCGATTGCTTCAGAAAGAAACAAGATGAGAAAGTCCAGGTGCTATTTGTTAAAGTATAAGGGTGATGGTTCAGTATCTCGAAGGAATATAATGAAAGAAACTAAAGAACATAGGTCACATGTTTGACAGTAACTCACCAGAGAAATTAGGTCCATCTGGCTTCTCCATAAGAAACGAGAATGCACGAGGCCAAAGCAACGAAAAGTGCACAGCATGGTAGAATTCACCAGACTGTCCCTCTGTGGCAGGCCCCAGTCTGCCGGTGTCGTGGCCTCAGTACAGCCCCATGTGGGTCATGACAGGGCAACCAGAAGGTAGGTTGCAGAGGTGGGATCTGCTTGCTTTTGTGACTACTTGCTGTGGTGATCACATCGCCACTTGTACCACTAACGCCACTCTCCGAAAGGAGAGCACGTGGCTGCATTACTCCGGTGGGAAAGGTTGGGAAGACCTCTCACGCACTGCTTCCTCCTCTTCAGTCTGTGCACTGACAAACACCAAGAGGCTTCCCTGTTGAGTCGGCCTTTGGACCACCTGTACTTCTCCACAGACATTACTTCTCTTTAGGGTCTCTGCTTTAGGAGGCAGCTTGTACTTCACCCTCTGAAAAATATTTAAAGATTATTTAATACCTTGACTTAAACAAAGAATGTATTTTGAGAGCTTTCTGTATCAGTCTATACGCTTTCTCTCACTCTTCTTAATAGCTACATAATGGGCCTTCACATAGATATGCTATATTTGTCTAAACCCCCAATGCCACCTTGGGGGACATGTTAGGTATTTCCAGTTTTTTGCTATGACAAACACTGTTGCAGTAAACATCCACATACATTTTCCTTCAGGGACCTTTCTTGACTAATTCCATAGGATGAATTTCCAGCAGTGGGATTTCAGGGTCAAAAGGAATGTGTATTTCACACTTTGATAGATATTGTCTTCTTGGAGTATCGTGCCAGTTTATACTCACACAAACATAATTAGGATGGTTCCTGGTGATTGCAGCCTCCTTTTGTTTTCTGAGTACCTTGATGGGATGGGTTTGGTAAACAAATCTGGAGGCAGAAGATAAGGTATACTTAAATCTTCCTGAATAATTTCAAGGGAAAGAAACTTGAAGGGAGAGGTATTGGAATCCCAGGACAAAGACTGGAGTAGTAAGAGTGGGGCCGTAGAAAGGTGGTACTCTGAGGGAGAGGGGGAGGAAGAAAGAATGGCTTTCCTGGCAATATAGCACAGAAGGGATTCTGGAAAGAGGATGTCAAGGGGCTTTCAAATTTTGATGTGGGATGAGCAGTGGACATCTCTCCTCCGCCTCTACCAAACCGTCAATGAACTGCACATTGATCACTGCTTATTTTTTGAGTAAATTCTTTTGGGGATGCTCAACTAAGATGACAAGGGGGTAGTAGGCATCTGAATTTCAGTAGTATAACCACATTGCAGAGCATCCGGAAAATCAAGAAAAGGCAAGGATAACACCCATGGTTCCAGAACCTTATCAGAACCACTATTACCATTTCAGTGGATTCCCTGACCACCCATTTTTTATATGCATTTTTTACATAATTGTAATCATAGTATATACACAATTTTGCCTCCTGCTTCGTAAATTTGATATTAATGTGTATGCATGTACTTATAAACAAAATTACAAGATGGAGAAACAAACTTTTTATATTCTTATTTTTCACTTTTATTTGCAAGTTTTATTGTCCTCAGAAGTAATCATAGACATATGTATGCAGTGAATGTTTGGGATTCTATTCTCAGGGCTGAAAGTTCAGTGCACATATTACACGGATGTGTTTGGAGACCAAAAATATGACAATAAATAAGTTATTGAGGGCTGTTGATATCACTTTCTGGTCCTACATATAAAAGTGGTATTGACTGAAACATACTCCTTCAACTTTTGCAGATGCAAACGTTTTGTTTGTATTTTAGTATTTTGGTTCTTTATCAGATTGAATTTATTTTTAATAGACAATTGAAGGTTAAAAATTCAATCTGATTGTACATATCAGCTTGAAAAAGAAAGACTACAACATTTTCTCCCCAAGGTGTTGTTTCCCCAAAATGCAGTTTTACTGATTGAATTTTATGCCTTATTGAACTTCATATGTATTAAGTACAGAGTTAAGTTAATTAAATACTTTTGTGAAGGAAATTACAGAGTTGACTAGATACTTTGCTTGCATATCGCCAAGTAATACATACATCATGTTAACTATTTGGATTTTAAATAGGCATAGCAGTTGCTTCTAATAAATGTTTAGCATAGACAGTGAAAAGATTTCTAAAAAGAAAACTATATTACTGTCTTCATGATATATAAATAATAGTAAATAGTTAAGTATGCCACACACAATACTTAATGTGACTTACATATTTATAGTTATAAAATTTAGGGTCAGTTATAGAACCTAACTTTCCAGTTTTACTAAGACTGGGACACATTTTCGGGTCTTCTCAGGGAAGGTGAAGGTTTCTCCTGGGGCTAGACTACAAGGTGAGGCCCTGTTGCCCTCTTCTTTCTATGCTAGTGTCTCCCTTGTTCTTCAGTGTGCTAGGGTAAAAGTATAACCCTCTGAGTTCCACACCCCTCATCTTGGTGTGTTGCTGTAATTCTAGGGGCCCAAGTTCCTACTTTTGATTTGATCTGATTCCTACACAAGTACAGTAGTCCCCCATTATCCACAGGGGACACATTCCAATCAGATTTAGTAGGAAGGACCCATATCTCCTACGCCAGCTAAATATGGTTTTATTTCACTGGGAATGTCCAAGGTTTATAGTTCTTATCAGTCAGTAGCTTGTCTTAAGAAAGCCAATTATGTACAGTCATTTATCCTTTCAGGCCATTTCTGTAGTGATTTGTGAACAACTCAGTATCATCTCCTCTCATTCCCTAGTCAAAAATAATTGAATAATAAATAAATTGAATAATTTATTCATTTTGAATGATCAAAGAGATCTTTTAAAAAATATAATTTAAACTTTTGTAACATTAAATTATATGTTCTGAAAATAATAATTAAGAAAGAACATTTGATATTATTTAAATACCAAAGAATGTTAAAACTAGTTTAGTCAGATATTCAGTGAAATACAAAATCTGCTAAGACTTTGTTGTCATCTCTTTAACTTTTGGATCAACAGATTTATAATGTTTGGCGTGTTTATTAGTAAGTTGCTTGAGAAAATTCTGAGAAACATAATTTTTAAATCTTATGGATTTTTAACTTTTTAAAGCTTAACAAATTAAATTTCTTAAAATCTAGATTTGATTTTCAAGACAATTTATACATTCCTCCACTAAATGCTTATCCAACTTGAGTTTGTGAAGCCCTGAACGCTCCTGGTTTAAATGCAATCTATAAGTGCTATGAAATCAAAGCAATTTTTAAAAATCCTCCATGTTATATCACTTTGTATGATATATATTCTACCCAGAATAAGGAAAGCATTCCTATGGGAAAATAAAAAACTTTTATAACTTTTCAGTTTATTTCAATATGCAAAGTCAGCCAATTGGTCTTCCATTATAAAGACCTATAAAAAAATCTTCAATAGCTACAGTCAGTGTTTTGTAATTGTCACAAAATGGCTTTCCCAATAACTTTATAAAATATTTATAACCAAAAAGAATTGGCTGAGAAAGCTAAGTATAATTTTTATAAGAAACAGATTTGACTAGTCATTTGAAATAATAATTTCACAAAATAGTAAAATATGAGTTAGTAAAACTTCAAATTCCAGCAATGCTATAATCTCCCTCCAACAATGGTTGTTAAATATAAATATAACTGCTCTAGATAAATGATAAAGATGGAACCATCTGGTGAAAACTGGTTACATGTTAGGCACTTTCAAAACAAAATTAAAGTCTCTGAAAATAAGTATTTCTCTAGAAACGCATTAGAAATCTGATTAGAAGTAGACCCCTAATTATGACTATCACTACATGAATCTCCAACACTTTTTTGAAAAAATTGAGGAAGCATTTAGCTTTAATTTTCTCAAGAAAAAAAAATGTAGAATTACTACTTACTGGTAGGCTCTTTCACCTCAATTCAAATACCCACAGATTTCAAGTAAAACACTCATTTTAGGTAATGATCAGAAACAGGAAACGAAAAAAATTTAGATTCTAAAAGTAGACCCAAAGAGCACTATATTATTCAAGATGTAAAATTGAGAAGACTATCAAAGAACCATTGGAGGGAACTATCACAATGAAAACCATCTAGAACAATTATACAATGCATATCTTTGCCCGAGAACAATATCCATTATGAAAAACGTTTTAATTCTATTTCATACTAGCTCATATTTATATTTTAAGAGTTATTCCTGGATCAAATGTTTAAAAGAAAGACATTAAAATTCATAAGCTTCAAAGAGCATCTACAAAGTAATAAGAAAATGACCCAGAAAAAACTAGAAAAAAGGGCAAAGTAAATGAACAGCAATGACACAGAAGAGAAAAAAAAATGGTCAAGAGAAGTAAGAAAATATGTTCAGCCTCATTAGTAGTAAGATGTTATCAGATTAAAACAATAATATTCTTATTAGGTCAGCCAAATTTAAAGATTGATAACATCCACTGCTGTCAAGGGCATGGGTATATATTGGTGAGCTACAAATTGATAGAACCTTTTTGGGAAGTCAAGTTTAGTTATGTATTAAAAAAATTTTAAGTGCACATTATCTTTGCCATAGCCACCCCACTTTCAGGAATATGTATATATTTAGAGGTGATTATGCAAGCATGTAAAGCTATATATGTAAAGATGCACACTTTCAGTAATGTCTCCCTAAAAGTCAACAGTTGAAGGGTTAAGTAAATTATAATATATCCTTATTATAGAATGCTATCCAGTCATTAGAAATATGATTTGTTGAATTTACCTGGAATGACAGACACTTCATGATATACAGTTAAATGAAAAATTACAGACCAAATATATAAAACAATTCCAGTAGTTTAAAGTAGTCCAAGATATGTAGTACCCCAGGCATCTGGCAGAAGCAAATGTCAACCCTTTCTGGAGGAAGCATTTATCCCCAGTTCTCAAAGAATCCCTTGAAAAATAAATTTCCAAGGGAAATGAGTAGTTCACAGCCAAAAATCATTCAAAATACAAGGAAACAAGGTACCATGAATGAGAAGCAGCTAGAGTAGAGATTCAGAAATAAACAAAAAAAGATTTCAGACACTGTTATAATCAGACACAGATTATAAAATAATTATGTTTAGCATGTATAAATAAATGAAAGAAAAGTTTGAAAATCTGTCCAGGGAACAATAAACTATACACAATGAATGACCAATCAAACTTGAGCAAGAACCAAAGGGAGCACCTGGAAATGAAAAGTATTATAACTGAAAAGAACAAAAAATTCAATGAATGGGCTTAACAGATTAGACACAGTTGAAGAGAGAATTAGTGATCTCAAAGATAGATAGGCATGAAGAAATTACCCAAAATGTTGCACAGAAATGACATGCAACATATAGAAAAAAAGGTTAAGAAAAATGGTGGATAGAGCAGAAATGCATCTAATTGGAGTTCCAGAAGGAGACAGAGAAAGAGGGCAGAGGTAACGTGAGAATAAAATGTCTGAGAATTTTCCAGAAATGATGAAAAGAATTTTCCTTTAGATTCCTTTAGTGAAAATCAGACAGGATAAATATGAAGAAAACCCAAAACTAGGCAAATCATAGGGGAACTGTGGAGCGCCCAAGACAAAGAGAAGATCATTAAAGGAGACAGATTACCTTCAAAGGAATAACAGGCTGACGGCTGATTTCTTGATGGCAACAAAGGAAACCAGGACTGTGCGATACCTTCAATGTACAAAGGGAAAACTATTTTCAACCTAAAGTTCTATTCTCAGAAAAAATATCTTTTCTGCATGAAGAAAAAATTAGGATATTCTCAGGCCATCAAAAACTGAGAGGAGTTTGCCATTAACAGACCCTCACTCATGGAAAACCTCAAGGTTGTTGTAGAGACAGAAGGAACGTGATTCCATACTCAAAGTCTGAGATAAAAACAGCAATGGAGAGAGACTTCCACTGACAGCCATGAGAGAGCAACAGGAAATGGGTTTAGGCTCCTGCCTGGAGCACCACCAATAAGAAAATGAAGTGGCAGGAGTGAGGGATTAAAAAGGGGCGCAAGGAACCTTTTGAAGGGGATGACATGTTCATACTCTTGATTGTAGTGATTGTTTCACATTTGTTGAAACTTCTCAAATTCCACACTTTAAATACGTGCAGTTTATTGTATGTCAATCATACCTCAATAATTTTGTTTTAGAAAGAAATGAAGAGCAGAGAAATTGG